GCTCGACCAAGCAAGGCCCTTTTCTCATGCCAGGATAGGATGGGCCAGGCCTTATCAGTGCAGCTAGGCCTATATACTACTATGGTTACAGGGTAGGCCTAGATTAGCCTAATCATTAGGGTAAGGTAAGGGAGGCTAGGCCTAGATAGGTCGACTATCACTTCTTCCTTGCATAAGATGCCACTTTAATATGTCAGATACACAACAATTAAAGGTTTTATTATATAGATTATAAATCAAACCAACATTTTCATAACAAAATCTCACGTTTCGCGGTATATTTTTGTATTTTAATAGAAAACGCCCTCAATCTTTTTCTTTAAAAAAACTTTTATGTGATAGGGGGCAGCAAATAGACTTTTTACAGTAGACTGGATTAATAACCATAGCAATCCAGACTACTGTAAGAAAATTTTACAGTAAATATTAAAATATATTAGATTCCAAAGAATAAATTTTGAAAATATATATAGGCCTGCATATTTTTATAGTTGTACTGTATAATATATTATAAACAATATATAATATCCTATAATATTAAATAAACATTAATTTAAAGTAATATGATAAAAAATAATACAGTACCAACAAAAAAAAAAAAAATGTTGGCCACGTTTTGGGGAAATAAAAAAAAAATGGATAGGTCGGTAGGAAACAAATATGTGCTTACACCTAGAAAATACACAAAAAATAATACAACAATTTTCAATTTTAGATTTGCACTTTGCTCACTAATGCACAATTTAATCGTGTTTGTTGTAAATATGAAGGGTCTTTAACTAAAGGGAAACCTATATATTATATTCGCGTATAGGCCACTGATCTCTATTATAATAGCTATTATAGTAGAGATCAGTGGTGTAGGCCTACTGTTTTGGAAATACTTAACAAATCTATGCATCCATGCCAATCACTAAGTAAATCTGAATTGAGTAATCCAAATATCCATATATTCATATGTCAGACGAAAGAAAGACACTTGAAAATAATTGTAATTAAAACGAACAATTTATTTTTTTTTATTTGCATAATGATCTATCGGATAGTTTACAAAAAAAAAAAGAGAGGGCGGTACATACTGCACAGACAATCCGCAGAAAATACAGTAGTCATATTAGCAATATATATTACAACACATTACTTACTACAATTTTACAGGTTAAAACTCCTTAGATTTTCACAAGTTATCCTGAGTTAATAGAATAATATAAACTAAGATAAAAATTTATAACAGATATATGCATTTAATTAAAAAAAAAAGCTATCAGCTTATTAAAGAAAATGATCATTTGTTGCATGATTATTTTTTTATACCAATAAAACTGTTTCGTATCAAGCTACTGGTTTTCTACAGAACCAGCATACTTTAAAAACCAAGTCTCATTACAAAGCTTAGGCAGTGGAGCTGTTTTTAGATGTTAGAAAAAAAAAATTCTGTCTTGTCACGGGATTTTTTACCAGGACCCATGCATTTTAACAACCACTTATGCAACTGCTCTAATAATAATTGCAGTGTAAATCTAGTAATAATAATACTACCTCATATGAAATAATAACACTAATTCTGGATATGTTATAAGAAACATAGTACATTTTATAAAAAAACATATAACATAATTATTTTAAATTTCAGAAACCTAATCAAAATAGTTAAAAAAAAAAAAAAGAAACATTAAAATTAGATTAAAAACTCAAATAAAACAGGCATAGACACTAGAAAAATGGAGAGTGGTTTAGTTGATGGTAGATCTTGGGTAGCAAACCCGGAGGTCGTGGGTTCGATTTCCACACGAACCAAGATTTTTGTAGAAGCGGTTTGGCGCAGCGGGAACGGTTTGGTTTCCCAACCTCGAGGTTGAGGTTTCAATCCCTCGCTGTGCATTTCGCTTGTGTCCTTGAGCAAGACACTGTATCTGCATTGCTTCTCCCCAGCCAGGAATATAAATGGGTACCTGGTGGGGTTGCCCGCTCCTGCGCTGATTACCAGCAGCAACACTTAGCAAGTGGACCCAATGACCAGGGAAAGGAACTGCGCTTTATAACCGCAAGGAAGTGGCGCATTATAAACCAGTACCAGTAAGGGGGTATTAAGAAAATATGAAGTAACAGAAGAATGAAATAAAAACTTGGGTATCATAAATTGCAAAACAGAGCAGTAGAGAATGGTGGTGAATGGACCATTCACTTAAGCCCCGTCCCCTTGAATATTGTTAATGAAGTCCTACCAAATGACAGCGTATGCATTCGTGAGACAACGTGTGTGTTTGGTGGACACACAAATATTCGTAGCCCTGCTTTGACTGGTCCGTTTTTAAGTTTGATTGACAATCTGGAAAGGTTTAATTGTAAGGGATTTTCAAAAACAAAAAAAAAAAAAAAAAAAAACCATACATAGATGTGTATAAGAGACAGGGATTGGGCCCGTGTGCAATATTGCCCATTTGCTCATTGAAGAAGGCAGTACACCCTCTTGGGAAAGGGAACGGGCTTGTCACCTGTTTATAGTGGCCAATCCAAACCAAGAATGACTCCACTGGAAATAAGTCCTCAGATTTTGTGGATTATCCTTGGTGTTCACATCAAATAATATCAATCCAATCCAACGATTTATTGAGTTGATGAAAGATGGTAGAGATGGGGACATACAAAAGGACTACATCTTGATAAAAGACTAAGGAACACAATTATATAATAATCATATATCATAATTATATACAACAATACATACAATACATTTTGATACATCTAAATTAAACACATCAAAAGAACATTCTATTCAAAATACCACAATTTGTTTAACCAATATTCATATAAAAAATGGTTTGATTTAAAAGTAACATTTACATTTTCTCATTTTTACGTTACAAACAATATTAACATCAACAATGGTAGTTTAAGTAGGTACATTTAGTAGCTATTGAGAATTCTTCAGGAAATCAAGAGTGGTTTTCTTTGGAAAGGGGTTATATTGCATCGAAATATTACTAAATGTTAACTTCAGTACAATACTAGTATCGGCAAATACCATAAGGAGCTTTCGACTTTGCGATAACAGACACACAAGTACCGGTAGGTCGAATGTGCATGCAAATTTCTCATTGTCATTTAAATTCTTGCACATGGTTTTAAGTTAAATCTATAATGCACGGGAAAGTCACAAATAAGTGAATCCATCATTATACAAGTGAAAGCTTCCTAATAATTGCTCCAAAACGCTTCCCTGTCGTAGGAACAATAACATGTATGCAGCTTTGAACTAATGAAAAAACCAATTATGAGAAACATACTCGTTTACTGTATATTTGTATATGTAAAATATAATCGTACACTGTATAACTGTATAAGTGAAATATAATTGTATACTACTTGGATACGAGTCCTTGATTGTCAATATCTTGTACATTGCACACTGGCACCAATATATTTAACTTAAAATACTCAAATATTCTTGATATCAGAAAAAAAAAAATGTCAAAAAAAAATTAAATTAAAACATTTATTTATTTATTTTAATACCATATTTCAAGACAAAAAACATTAACATTAAATTAAACATTAAAACAAACAAAAAAAAACATTAAATTGCTTATTAAAAAACAAACTAAAATTTCCAATGATACACAGTTCATAACAATTCAGTTTAGTGATTTATGCATTCTTTTAATAAAAACAGGCTGTCTACTGATATTCAGCCAATTCTAGGGTGTATGAAAATAATATATATATTATTTACTGAGAGCAGCACACTTTTCTACCGTTTCCAGTGTTTTATTCATTATCATTGCACTAGTACGGCTTATCTATTCTTTTTGTATTATTTCTGCAACTGTTATCACTGGTGGCGCCAGGATTTTCTCGATGGGGAGTTTGAGGTCCCCAACAGGGGGGGGGGGGAAGTGGGTGATGTCCCCGACAAAAAAAAGTGTTCCAGCCAAAGAATATGACAATTTAGGGGTTTCAAAAGCTTATTAAATAACTTTAGGAGTCTACTAATGTAGAAAATACACATACACTTCCCCCCCCACCCCCACCCCCCTGTCCATTGTTCCAAGGAATATAATTTTTTGTCTTAATATGAGCTAATAGCTTACATACACTAAAATAAGCAATTCAAATATTTTATTTCTCAAGTTGAGCTCTGTCCACACTATCAAATTTTCTTTGACAAAAAAATCTGTTGTATGGCCATATATAGTCATGATGTGCCTATATATGGTCATGATGTGATGTCATCATGACCATATTTAGGCATGACACATAATTTTGTCAAGTAAAATGTGGTAGTGTGGACACGGCTTTTGTTGCTCAACACAGACAGCACACTATATACCATACATCTTCTCTAATGTATAATATTAATATTTATTTTTAATACATTAGTACTTTAGACTGGCATTTTAAAATGGCATCAGAAAGAGTGTCTTAATATTGGTGACTACCTTATCTCAAAGGTTATATCAATGTGAAAAAAAGTGAGAAAAAAAATAATTGATTCGAACCCAAGATCTAACATTATTGTTCAGTTGCGCTCTACCAACTGTGCCATACCGATATACTTCTTTAGAATTTGAATAATAAAGTAATTATTTCCTGAAAAAATCTGTTGGAATGTATGCTTATACAATTTTCATCATTTTAGTACAGTTCATTCTTATATCACAATGCATTCATCTTCTTTATACTGTTAATGACAGTTACAGTACAATGATTAGTTAAAAAACTTTAAGTAGATTATAGAAGACAATATTAATTGTTTGTTATATTGTTAATAATTAATTATTAAATATAATTTAAAAATACTTAAATGAAAGCCTGTATTTCTACTCACTGGTTAACTTGTACAGTATGAAGTTTTCTCACAATACCCAATTATGGTTTAACATTGTATTAATTTCTCCCAATACGGAGGGTAGATTCGCATATTTTTATTTGCAAATGGCCATTTTGAATAGAGACAACATACAAATTAGAACTTTTGGGTATATGAAATAAGCAATAAATTTTTTTTTATTACGCTGCTGCTCAGAAAGATATAATCGCATCACATTCTTCACATTTAACTTTTCTACTGAGAGAAAACAGCTTGGTTATTTTTTTTTGCACATCATTCACTTGCTTGCAGTGGTCGTCGGAACATAATCTCTCGCCCTTGGGGTTTAGGGAGGAACCCGGAAGTAATGATCTAAAAATAAATACTGTATGTATGTTTGTGTTTCATTACAGTTGATGGGATGATTTTCATTATGGTGGCACCGTTTATACCTTGGCTAATGGGATGAAACAAGGCGAAAAGGTTTGGCAGTCAGATGGCCTGAGTGAATTTTAACAAGAACGTTACAAGGTGTGTACAAGATTAGTTGACCAAAGTCCTGTGTGAACAGGGGTTAAGTCACACAACAAGGTTCAGGAAGTGGAGCTGTTTGGACCCAAGACAACAAGGTGTGAAACCATGACAACAATTCTTATTTTGATCGTATTTGAACCCAGGAACTTTGACTTGGCAGACAAGCACCTTGTTACAACTTGACTACATTATTACATAGTAAAGGTAATTCCAAACTAGCAATTACCTCAGCCTCTGTTGAATTATTCTTACCTTAATTATTACTGTTGTTCATTTAGCTATTTAAACAATGTATGTTATTGCTCCATTTATTACAATAAACTAATCTCATGTATGTCATTGGTTAGTTTACAAATGAAATAACAAGAATGTATTTAAAGAATGGTCTTAAAACACACAATATCAGCCATGAAACACCAACATGAAGACAGTATAACATTTGGAGTTACAATATCAAAATGGGTAACAACATGTTACACTCTAGAGGGCAGCAGAGTTTCTTTTAATCTTTTAAACAGAGCAACAGATAAAATGTGAAGCTCACTTTACATGGTCAGGATCAATATCCAGGCTGTTGTCTTCTCTAACTTACATAGTAAATATTCGTACAGATTTCAGCAGGTTAATTTACATAATCTACATATTCATCAGAACACCTGGATTTCATTTCTAGGTTTGTTATCAATATCATCATCTAATACAAGTACAAGCTGAAATGAAAAACAAATTTAGATTTTAAAAGTAAATAATTCATTATCGTTGTAACATATTATTTTGCATTTGAAAATTGTAGATACATTCCTATTATTATTATTATGCTCTTTTAAAATCGAAGTTCTGGGATCCCATGTTGGTAGAAGCCAATTCAGAAATATCTGGTTTAATGAACTTCCATAATAATAATAATAATAATAATAATAATAAGTTTTATAAAGCGCACAAATCCACTGCAGTAGTGTTCAAGGCGCAAAAGTGGTCCAGGGGGCAAAGCCTCCGAAAATTTTAACAATAACATTTTAAAAAATGTTCTTCTCCATCTCAAAGTTTCAGCAAAACCATTTGCTAAATAAGACTAAATTTTATTTTAATTTTTTTTCTGCCATCCTCTAATGATTTGTAAGGAAATAAGTTCGTGAAACAAGGAATAAGATAGTCTGGCCTGAGTGAATGGGAGATTCTCACTTGCTCAAGAGAGTGTAGGAGACCATGACAATTTTCAGTAAACTACTGTGACTTGTGTGAGACTTGTAAAGTTTAATTAACTTATTGCAAAAATGGTGCATTCTCTGCATACCAATATATCTACATTCTATTTGAATACAATGGAAAATCATGGAAACACTCACCAGGAATGAAAAGAACATGGCAGCTGCTGACAGGAAATGCCAGACATCGTGACCATCGTAGAAACCCATCACGATGCACTCCTCATTGCCCTCGCGTGATTGGGCAGGTGTTTTCTGAAATTAACCAGGTAAAACAAAAATGACAAAACTTTGGTAAGTAAACCAATTCAAATCTTGAAAGTACACTCAACAGTAACATGAACTTAGAATGATGATAATGATAATGTTGATGTAACTGTTGATGATGATTAGGAGTGTTGGTCCCCCCACCCCCGGGGAGAAAAAGCACAATTCGTCGGGGAGGAAAAAAAATGATATGTATTTTCTAGATATTAGTAGACTCTAAAATCGATTAAATAAGCCTTTGAAACCCCTAAATTGTTAAAATTTTCTGGACCCCTTTCAAAACCTTTTAATCGAAGCTCTACCACACCCACACTGCTTTCGTTGGGAAAATCTGACACCCCGTCAAGGGCATCGGCTCCCTCGTCGGGGACCTCGGCATCGCCACCCCTGCATGATGTAGATAATGATGGTGATAAGATTGTAACAATCATTATATATTTGCAACAGCGTCCTTATCCTGTTTAAAGGTCCAGTTTACAATCAATATATTACAACACATATTTTTAACGATAAATGTAATGCAGTTAGGTATTGTAGTTCATTTCACAGGAAGCAGCCAAAAAATGTGTTTTTGTAATGCAATAAAGGAAATGCACAAAAAAAAAAACAATTTCTGTCCCTAGAAACATGGTATCCTAAATATCTAAGTGACTCTCCTACAGGAATTGTATATGTTCCTGTTTCTTGTATATGCTATGACATCTAAGCAACCCTTCAAGGAATTATATATGTTCTTGCTCCTAATACATGGTATCCGAGATATCTAAGGGACATGTCTCTTAGGAGGAACTTATGATTCAAAATTTCAGATTCCTTAAAAGGAGATGTCTGGAAGGAACATTTCAATAAATACATTTGATGAAATGTTAAAACATTGAAACACACACTCTACATGTAAACATGGATAAAAACATTCACGCAAAAATTTATTAAAAATGAATTGATTACTATAACAAATGAATATTGGTTACTCTTTAATAATTACTGTAAATGCTTAAATAAGCACTGAACCAAGCATGATTTTTTTTATTAAGCACCGAGAGTATTAATCAAGAGTGTATATTGCCCTGTGTGAAATGAAACACTTTGAGAAACAGGGTTTTAAATACAATGTATACAGTGTTAAAATAAATAAATAAATAACACAATGACGTCACAAGAATTTCTGTATAAACATTTATTTACGATGATAAGACCTACGCAACTACGGGAATAGGTGAAATAGGTAACATGGGAACGGGAATAGAGCGCGCCACGCCAATAACTTTTTATAAGCACCACTCCCCAATAAGCGCTGCACTGAAGCCTAAAAAAATGTTATAAGCGCCGCTGCGCTTATTTGACCATTTATGGTACATGTTTTTTTCCTATTCTGATAATTAGAGAAGGCATATACCGTCTAAGCTCCGGTGTGTTATTAATCCGTAAATAAGTTAGAATTTTTGCACCTACCTGCCACTGAGTTATACCAAGAGAGAAGAAATATAGAGCCATGACCCAGATTATACCGGTACAGCCAAGGAATATCATAGCTATCGGTAGGATGCGCTCTTTACATCGGATCTACAGATATGAAAAAAATTGTACAAACAGAATGTTTGTAAATAATTAATAGTTATAAATTCAATTCAATTTTTGCAGTGCATATTTCATCGAGCGTCAACAACCTCTTAACATTAGTACAATAGAAGTCCGCAACAAGACCAAACCATACCACAACTACCTAAGCAAATTTGTAATAGAATAATTTATAAAATAGCTCCATCAGAGACCCAGAAAAGATAATTTTAGACTGTAAAAATGCTTATTCAAAGCAGTGTTCTCCAACAAAATTACTAGCTTCATCCCCGACGGTGGGTTCTGTCCCCAGTCAACCCCCACTAGTGCTCGTACTATTGAGTTTGCACTTAGCCTACCTTCATTATGATGTAGAACATAAGATACAGGAGAAGATTAATGATGAATATTGCTAGTAGGAATGAAGCAAAGTCCTTGGGCTGTTTGGCAAGACCAACGATGGCTCTGAAAAAAAAAAAAAAAAAAAAACATAAAGAAAAGGTAATTTGACAAATTTTATAGCGGTCAGTTTGTCCCACACACACCAAAGTTTACAATTACGACTGCACACTCTCAGCAATGTTTCATTTTGTGGCCCTAGTAGTAGTTGTAGTAGAGTTGGGGCAGGGGAAGATTTAGGGAGGGCAGTCTCTCATTATTTCTAACAGAAAAAATGCAAAAATGGCATACAAATACTAAATGTTACATAATTTTGTAACAGCATACGTGACACAGACAATCCAAACCAGTCACTTGTCGCAAATCATGTTCAATGATGATGGCCAAAACATGCTGAAACATTTTATTATCGCACTAAACTAACCCTTATATATATCTATACATCATGATATGCTGTTACTTTTCCTATTTTCAATTTTAAAACAACAATTTTTAACGATTTTGTGACAGTTTCTGCCTTAGAAATGCCCAAAATCATAAAATTGAAGGCTGATTTCTCAAGTATTGTTCTATAAACAGCTGTATGTTTAAACGCTTGTAACTTCATAAGGAAATGTCGAATTTAAATAATTCTTTCACCATTTTATAGCTCTAATTTTTACTGTTTAACACTGTACATGTATTAATAACCAAAAATTCATTTTTGTGATGAGTGACTGGTTTGGCTTATCTTTGCCACAAATACTGAACATGAATCATACTATTATTGGACACATATTTATCTGTATACTTATACTACATCTAGGCCTATATAAAACTGGTCCCCCCTCATTTCAAAAATCCTGGATCTGCCCCAGTGGGGTTTAGCAGGATGGTCCATTATACCCTACACTGTGCCAGTCAACTTATGATAGATTGTAACAATTATAAAGGTTAAAGGTTATCATAAACTTACAGTGACCAGTTAACTGCATTGCCTATCAAGAGCACAACCATTCTATCCTAAAGAGACAAAGAAAATGGAAAATGAAGAATAAATATAATCAATTTTCATTTAAAAAAAAAACTATTTTTGTAGTAAATCAGCAAGCTTTTCTTTATCAGTTTTTGGTTCGAATTTTATTTGATCCTTCTAAATGAGTTTTTCAAAACTTAAGATTGAATTTTTGTAAGGTTTTTCCTGATTTTGTATGGCAGAAATTATATCTTTAGTATTTGATTATGAAACATTTTGATTTTTTTTTTTAAAGTTTATTAAGTCCTGTCCAGACTATCAAATTTTATTTGACCAAAAACATGTGACATGCCTAAATATGGTCATGATAACATCACATCATGACCATATATAGACACATCATGACTAAATATAGGCATACAACAGCTTTTTGTCACAGAAAATTTGATGGTGTGGACAGAGCTTTAATACTTCTGCCATATTTATTTATTTTATTTATTCTATTTATAAACAAACCAACAGTGAAAACAAGAATCATCACTTACAAGATTGTAAAAAACACACAAAACAGTAGAGAGGGGTTACGAGATAAAAAGATAATTAAAAATCATTGCAATCATTACAGATGTAAACAGCAAATATGTTTACTGAGAAAACACACTTCGATTAAATAAACACAACCAATCAGCAGGTAAATGACTGGGAAAAATCCCTTCATCATTTCTGAATATGCCTTTTTTTTTTTTTTTTTTGTACATCAAGCTATTATGTACAAATGTGAGGTGTCGTGACAAAATGAGTCTTGTTGCACGCCAGGTCAAATTGAGATATTCAAGAAGATATATATGAAGTGATATTTTGACAAATATTGGGTTTCAATGTTTCTGATAGGTTACATATTTCAGGATAACAAATGTTACATTAGCTTTACATTTTGTAAAGCTCTTTTTCAGAAGTGATAGAAAACCAACACAAATTACAACAACTGTTTATCTTTAGTGGCTATTTTCTCTAAAGTATGTTTTTCAAACTTCTGAATTTAGAAGTGATATTACTCGGATTGTACTCAAGCTGGGAACCTTATTCTGAGACTAAAATAAAAAACTATACAATCATCTATCCAATTACAGCAACAACTCATTTTTCATATTTTGTACAAAACTAATGTTGTGATGACAGCTCACAAATACATATTGCTTAACATCTCATCTAAGGGGCGAGGTATGGTAATTAGAGTAAAGCCTCTTATCCATGGACACAAGCAAGAATCAGTATTAAGCATTAATATTTTATATGAGATGTGATTAATTCCAATTTTTACAGCTATCTGAACTAATGGTGTTGATACGGTATCCATGTAAAAAAAAAAAAAATCAAAACTTCCAAATTTTCATCCAATCAGAATATAGCACAACTATTATGAAAATTCTTACCGTGTAAACTGGTTTTGAGCAGCGAAGGCAATCCGTTCGGATTACATTCCAAATTCTTTTAAAAATTCCCAAGTCTAAAAGAATTAAAAAGTAGGAAATAGATTAATCAAAATATTTCAATGGGATAAAGGCTAAAAATGCATGAATGTGAAGTTTGTATGAAGCATCAGTATTTCTCATCTAATGAATACATGATTGGATGACAAAAAACCCCAAAACATCCTCTGATTAGAAAAGAATAAAAATTATACAAGATCTGTACATTATCTCTGACAGAAAACCACACATGACAAAAGCAAAGAGAATATTTGTACAAAATCAGTACATATTATATTATAGTAATAATAGTAGTAGATGATCATTGATATAGCGCCAGTGTTAATAGATGAACATTAATGACATGACTGAACATTGATGACATGATGTGGTTATATAATACCTGCTACCACCCCCCTCCCCAACAAAATATTGTTTGTCGTTACACAAGCCAGTTCCGCCAATGCCTTCATTATCGTTGTTATTATTTTCATTATTATATTCATTATTTATTCATTTGATTTTACCTGAATTTCTTTTACTATCATCACTATTATAAAAGGCCTAAAAAAAAACCACTGAATGCACATCCACAAGAAAAGCCCACAACACATTGAGCAAAAACTTTTTGCAATCATGCACTCACTATAATGTTACAGATATCACAGTCTTGTAGCAAAAATTTATGGTAAAGTAATATTAATCTGGTCAACACAAGTGTAGCAATACGAACCAGATTAACTTATGTTTCCGGTAGTAGGCTTAAGGTAATTAAGGCCATTTAACTCAAGTACATTCAACTCCAAGATAACATTTATACAATTATACATCATAGCCGTATGTTACCGCTATTGGTTATAAAATCTAAAGTATATCACAAATGCTTAGGCCTACAATACAGTGTAGGCCTAGACCTCTATGAAATATCTGTGATAAAATGGTAAAATATATAAGAACACTTAATTGTTAATAAGCAATGGTTAATAAAGCAACTGTTTCACACATTAATGTCAAAATTATATCCAGGCCCACTAAAAAATAAAACAGTAATGTTCATTCTTGTGTGGTTACAATGTGGTTTTTATAGGACAGATCTCAATGACAACTGAATCCTGAGAAAGCAATCGCAAACAGCAAGAAAGGAATAATTCGGCCGAGCATTCAGTCAATACAGAGTGAGCCAGCTAGGCCTTTCATTATGATCACTGTCTGTCGTTACACATCACATTGTCACACAGTAACACATAGTTAGTCAAACTGTACAGTTAGAAAGACAATATTGTAATCAGCAAGTGGGTCTACCTGGTATTATGTAACCTAAAATTCCGCCAATACCAACAAAAAAAAAGAAAGAAAAAAAAAAGGAAAATGAAATCATAGAAACTTGGTTCAGTGACATAATAAAGATAAACACTTAAACAGAAAACCTTCTTTGTTAAAACAAAAATTACAAAATCTATGCTGATTGGTTTGGCTATAAAATATTTTAAAATTTACAAAGTAAGCAATTACTTTACTTCCTTATACTGTAGGTCTCAAAATGTCAGGATTGTCTGCGGTGGAGTAGGGGTTAGGATTTCCAAGCGTCCTGGTTGCAAAATGTCTGCACCCCATGTAGACAGTGGCATATCTAAGGGGTGCACAAGGGGTGCACGCCCCTCCAAAAATTACTCTCTCCCCCAGTCGCCCCCCCCTAAAAAAAGGTCACTTGCAAGTTGTTAAAATCACCTACAATCACCTTATTTTGTGAGTAGCGCACATCAACTGCTTATCGAGGCCCCCACACTTCACCTTTTCCCCCATTATCCCCCACTTTTCAAGACTTCCTGCATGTAGATTGCATTGCATGGACGGTTCGTGCATTTCAAGTTGATTTTGGATGAAACACGCATGTTACAGAAACACATTGTGATAATAAATTTGTCACGCATTTAGCAAGTCTATGCGAGATAACGAATTATTAAGAATTCAGAGGAAAATGTTTTTAAAATTAGAAGAAATTGGTTTTATTAAAAATATAAAAATGGTCATGCAGTAAATTGAGTCATTAGAGAGCTTTCGTTATCTCAATCGAGAATCAATTCACCGAGAATATTTCTATTTTTTGACCAAAATAACTCAGCCAACCACCCACTTAGTAGAATTTAGGAGGCGCTGGCAGCTCCTCCTCCCCCCAGCCAACTGGTGTAGTCACGCATTTCAAATCTTCTGGTTGGTAATTACGAGATTATAATGATTGTTAATATCATAAGTAGTTTAAGCTATACGGTTAGTTTTTAAGTCTACATTATCTTACTGAAGTTATTCTGTGCTTCCATACAGACTGTTAGAAGAACAACTCTAGCTGAATCAAGTTTTATACCATGTCATAATAAAGTTAATTATAGAAACTAAAGATTTAATTTTCTGTTTCTGTCCAATTCCAAATATATTGTTTTTCAGCTCAACATAAGCAGTATTTATAATCATTCAATACTGTAATACTAATGCTTTCAAATATGAAATTAACAATGTATTAGATTCCCATTATGGGTTTGGATATTAGCCAGATCCCTCAGCCAACATGTACTAAACTGTGACATGATCAGATTAATAATTAATTTAAATGAATTTAATTTTTTATCTTATCTTTAATAACACCCTTCAATGTAAGATTACTATACAATTAACATGATCCAAAGCTTTAATTGGCCAGCAATCAGTAAGCATCAATACGATTGGTCAGTTCATTATTAGAACATCAGAAAGATTTCCACTAATTCATCTTTTTGTCTTGCTTGCGATTCCAAGGCTAATTTCACCCAGATATAAGGATGATTCTCAGAAGGTGTTTGCAATGATAAGAACACCGTAGGCACACCCATAATATCAAATTACCTGTCTCTGATTGGTTAATTAGGAAGGACAATTTTTAACTTGTGGTATCAACAGTCCACTGGCTCCTGCAATGATTTGCAATAGTGTGAAGTTTTTAAAAACTATGAATTAAAGCCTGCTACTGTTTTGCAGATAGTTATCACCAGTCAACAAGGATGACACGAATATAGTGAGGAAATCTAGTAGCTGCAACTTGTTTGTTGTTTTCAATTGGTTGAGATTTTGAAATTTGCTTCTATCATACCCATTAATGGAGCTTTGGGGTGATTAGCTGGAGTCTATTTTTATCCAAAATCGATCATTCACATTTCCGCTACTTTGTACTACGAAATGTGTACCTTAATATCATGCTTTTTTAAACCCAAGTACCTTTAAGAAACCGAACTGAAAGTATGAATAAATCTCTATTAATGTTGAAACTTCAGTCAAAAAAGAAGTTTTGTCTGCCAAAATATCAGAAAAACAATTAGAATGCTTGAACAAGTCATTTAAATTACCATATATGTTATTAACTTCCAACCTGTAACAGATCAAATTAAATAGTTCTTTGATAATTAACTTTAAAATCCTTAATTGTGAAAATTGAGAATAGAGAACTAAATCCCTATAACAATGAAAACATTATAAGGGTGGGAAAATAACGGTGGGAGGTAGGGGAATGAAGTCTGCATCTTATAGCCTACACCCATGTCTTTTGTTCACTACTCATATAAATCCTTATCTCCAGGATTGTGCCAGGGCAGAGGCGGATGGTTGACCCTTTATTATTATTATTATTATTATTATTATTATTATTATTATTATTATTATTATAATTATTATTATTATTATCATTATAATTATTTAGTATCATCTACTTTTAGATAGACTGAATTTTATTGTAAATACTTTTTTTTTTACTATTTTGGTTTAAATAAAAAAAAAAACGTTTTTATATCAAACAAAACCGCAAAAACCAAAAGAAGGGGAAAAGAAATCGCATACACCCATTTCAAAAATCATCAAGTCATTATGTGTGTGACCTAATGAAGGTCGTCAATCATAACAGAGGGCAATGGCCCCCTTCTCCATCAGTTTTGGTTGCAAATCAAGGTGCCCTGATAAAAATACATCAATATAAATCAATCATTATCATTCTTTGTTTAGTCCATATGAAGGGAAATTGAATTTGGACTGGATAAAAATCACATTAAAATATTAAATAATTATAGGCAACTTATGAAATAACACAAAAGAAATGCTGAGCGATACCTTATCAAATACTGAAATAGCCTAATAAACTTCACTGTAAACACATTTGCCGGAATTTTCTTCCCAAAAAGTAGGAAAATGGCCCTTGTCGAATAACAAATAATTTAATTACATTATTCTAGGCAAATACAAAGAGTTTAAAATTATAGAATTTAATCAGATCAAATGATGATGTTCCAACTTGGGCCATTTTGAGCACAGAAAGCTATAGTGCGGTGAACTGTTATTGCCAAAAATGGTTTAAGTTGGAATAGAAGTCAGAAGAAGTCAGAATGGAAATTTTTTTTTCGAGTGTTTTCATTTTCGCTGAATCTCACATCATAATGGGGGTATGTATATATATATTAAATTAAAAAATAAATAAATACAGTAGTGTTTGCAACTTCCATTTATAAATTTTGGATGGCCAACTTTAATTGTTCTATACCTGTTAAAAATGTAATAATCCTCCATGGGCTCTCAATTTAATTCACTTAAAAATTGATTATTCATCAACATATGACTGAACTGTGATTGGCCGTTGCGCTGAATGTAACCTCCTTATTGTGGCACCTGCTGTTGATGTACTGAACGTGCAACTTTAAGGCCAAGTAAAGAAATTAAGTTTTTTGTCCAAGGATCATGTGGTTATGTTGGTAATACACAGTTTTATTCGAATAGGTCAATGTAGTAGAGGAATGTGAAAAACACTATTACTAATTACCCCCTTGCAGTATCATTTGTTACATTTAAATTTTGTTTTATACTCCTTACACAAAGTTTATCTTTACATTGATTATGTGAAATAAATCTGAATTTAAGATGACACCCTGCAAAAAAAGAATTGCAATGTTAAAAAAAAAACAATTGAGGCGGTAACAAGAAAGGAAATGGGCGGTGACGAGAATCTAATTAATTTTTTTCAATATAATTGCCATTCAAACAGTTGACTGGATATATTCTGCCAAAAATACCTGCAAAAAACCTAGCATTGGTTTCGACTAATTTGCGACACAATTAGTGCAGTCATTTTTAATTAACGCAGCGGATACAAAATATCATTAAAAATTACGATTATTTCTTATTTCGATTCGCCGCAGTCAATGACATGAATTTGCGAGGTGCAATCAGCAAGTTAAGAAAGGTTACTCAATGACAATGTACCAGAAGATGCTCAATTTGAAGGGTTCACAGTAAAGAACACATGTTATCTATCTGAACAACGACCTAAATACATTTTTTCATCTATAATTATGACAATCTTAATTACAAAAATGACTTAAATGACAATGTGATGGAATAAGAACAAGCTGCAAAGACTTATTCACAATATAACAATGCATTTTCTTAAAATAGTAACGACAAATGAATGTATAACAGTATATTTCAGTAAATTGTAAAAAATAACCAAACTAATCATTATCGACATCGCTGTCGAATGTAAGTTTGCCCAACTCAAATGTACCGTAATTAAAAGCCATGAACTTAAAGAATTAGTAATAAAGTATAATCAAGCTCATATGTAAAAAGGAAGGCATGTATCTGTATAAATATGTTATGGAACATAATTAAAGACGATTCTGACCAAGAACGAAAACAGAATGGTAATGGTTGGAGACTTATATAGCGCAAAGCACATGGTCTGTATGCGCAAAACAAGGAAAAACAAGAAAAAACAAAGCTATCCTAGGCTACACAGAAACTAAATGTCAGAAGAGACAGACTATTGCAGAAGAGCCAACACCACTGCGATCGTTTTCCTGCAATTTGAGACCACTGGCAATTAAGCAGCAGTTGGCAAGATCACAACTCACAGATGCTCTAATGGTGTTGGGTAACTAAATAGCCTATCAAAAATATGAAAAAACAAAATAAAAAATTACAAGGTTTGAAAAAGGTGTGTTTTTAGTCTAAGAAATCCACCCTCATTGGGATTCAAACTCACGACCCTTTCACATACAATACAAATCTGTCATACTACCAGATCATAGCACAATTTGAAAGTACTAGGCCTTTATCTATTCTTAAAGCCTAGGGAAAATGGGGAATAATGAATGGGACTAGGACATTTTATCTTAAAAATTTCTGCAGAAACACTTAATACCCGTGATAAGTTTACATCAATAGGGGAAAAAATGTTTCCAAGAAATATGTCAGTAGCAAATTCAGAAGAGGGCTTAAAGTTTTTCCAAAAAACATGAAGAAAAAAAGAAAATTATATTCCAATTGAAGTCTGGGTGCCATAATCTTAAATTTTCTTTCCCAACCATGGTGGCCCCCCCCCCCCCCCCCAAATCTGTGAAAATCGTTCCCTGGGCCCCCTCTGTGTAAAACTCCTGGATTACTGAATATGGTGATTGTGAGAAGATTCTCAACAGCATTCTCAAGTTTCCTGAACCAGGCACCCCTGTTAGAAGCATATATTAATTACCTAAAAATGGCTTCAGGTCGGGTCTGACTTCCCCCTACATTTAATGTGACCTTGTAGTCCTCTCACCATGTCTCTACCACCTCAATTTAATATATCCCACACCCCTTCTCTTGGCCTTCACCTTAAGAACGCCAATAACTATCCTCCCTTAGGGTCCCGACCTCACCGACAACGGCTATGAGGTCACGCTTTTGGCCCTTGAAGACGATTCACTTGGGACCATTCCATCAGATAACATTAACACTTGAAATAATTCTTTAAGACACTTCTCCTTCTAATCCAATGAATTAATAAGTTATGAATGAATAACTAGATAAATGAACAAATAAATGAAAGAATAAATGAATGAATGGACAAATGGATGAATGAATGTAGGAAGAATGAATGAATGAATAAAATGTGGGAAAGACAAGCCAAACCAGTCACTCCTTTCTTAGATATTGTTACACAATTGAGCAGTAAAATGAAAATAAATATATAATTTTTTTTAAAATCAAAACCAAGTATCACTTACATCTACAAACCTGATGAAGTTATTTAACAAGTAAAATGAGAGTTATTAAAATGGTGAAAGAATCATTTAAATCTGACATTTCGTTATGAAGATACAAATGCTTAGTGTAGTGCAATAAAATAGTTTTCAAAATGTTTAACAATCTAAAGCCGGGAATCCAACTCCACTCTCTATAGACGACGAGACGCCGTCTATTGTCCGAACAGTCTAAACTGATCTTCATTAAAAACGATCCGTTGCGCGTATGTTGTCTCATTGCGTTCTTTATAGAATCACGTAGGCCGACAACCGTCGTGCACAGTACGTGTCTGGCATAGCATGTTTGGCCATTTTCTCTGAAACGTGATTTGCGAGGAATGACTGGTTTCACAAATGAATGAAATGAATGATGGTATGAATGCATGAATGAACAAATATTTGAATGAATGCACAAATGACTAAATGAATGAATAAATGAATGAAGGATGAATGCACGAGAGAATGAATAAATGAATAAAGGATGAATGAACAAATGGATGAAATCAAACTAAATGACTAAATTAAAGAATGAATGAATTAATAAATAAATGAATGAAGAATGAATAAACACATGGATGAAATCAATAACTGAATGAATACATGAATAAGGATGAATGAACAAATGGACAAATCAATAACAAAGTGAATGAATAAAGAAATGAATGAATGAATGAATAAATAAATGAATGAATGAATTAATAAATATATGAATAAATAAATGAAGAATGAATAAACAAATGGATAACTCAATAACTAAATGATTAAATGAATACACAATTGAATAATTTAATAAATGAATCAATGAATGATTGAATGAATAAATGAATCAATAAACAATTATTTACTATGTAAAATACAAATGAAAAATCATAGGTTTTTTCCTATAATTGACAATAATACCATACGTACCTAGATTCCACTGCCCCATGTAATAGATCTGAGCACTAAGGACTAAACACATCAGGAAGTGTACAATTGCATACACTAAATAAAACCAAAATGAATTCAAAACCTGCAAAAATATAAAATATACACAAAATTATGTCATTATTGAAGGAAAATTAAAATATACAATCTATGTTAATATAATAATTATACTTGAGAAATGATACTGTTAATATTTGAAATGCATATTTTATATATATGACAATAAGTATGAGAATGCTTCCTCAAAAGTACATTAACAGTTTAATTAGATTTTTCCCGAAATACAAAGTATACATATATATATATGTGGCAAAGACAAGCCAAACCAGTCACTCGTCGCAAAAATCGATTTTGAGTTATTAATACAGTGTTAGAGAGTAAAATAACAGCTATAAAATGGTAAAAAAAACCATTCAAATCGGACATTTCCTTATGAAGTTACAAGCGTTTAACCACACAGCTGTTTAAAGAATAATATATGAGAAATCAGCCTTTAAAGTTTATGATTTCAGGCATTTCTCATGCAGAAACTATCTTTAAATTCTTAAAAAGTGTTGTTTTAACATTGAAAATGGGGAAAATAACAGCATAGAATGATGTGTAGATATATGAAGGTTAGTTTAGTGCAATAAAATAGATTTTTAAAAATTTGACATTCCAGCATGTTTTGGCCATTTTCTCTGAAACACGATTATATA